CCCCCGAACCCCCCCCCCCTGCTTCCTGCGCCCCACGCACCACCCCGAGCACACTCGCTTCGCTCGTGCGCGAGCGCGCCCGCGCCGCACAATAAACAACTAATCACCACTCATTACACAATGTACTATTATTGTGAAAAATATTACCTCGGCCGGGAATCAAACTCGGATCGCTCGTTTTACGCGCGTTTTCTCACTTCACATATACCAGTTAGAATCCCTATAACAGAATCTGGACATTGCATTCGGGCGCATGCTCGTCCGCCATTAACAGTCGAAATGTATCACGTGTTTGCAATTCAAATTGCTCGTGCTGTTATACGTAAGAATAGAGTTAAATTCAAACTATTTAAATGATCCAAGATGAAAGATAGCAGAGTAAAATAAAATTGTACAAGCGAGCAAAAATGTGTCTGACAGCAACATTAATTTTGGATATTCGCTATTGCTTTAATAAATAGCATGACTAATAAAACAAAATATGTGTCTTTTCGTAAGATTTCGCCCCTCTACCGTTAAGTTGAGCTAGCCGATCCGCGCGCGAGCGCGAGAGTCTATTGAATTTTCGCGTAATTTTCGCGTCACGAATTTCGCGTTTGATGGTGTCGCGAGTGTGATCTTAAGAGTTCTCGCAAGGTTGACGTCGCCTTGAAGGACGTCTGGCGTCCAACTTTCGCGATTCGCGATTCTCGCTCGACCGCGTGAACCATGAAGCAAAAAGCGAGCGAACCGTTCGTTCCATCCCTGCACCTCCACGACCATCGTGATTTCACCCTCCGACGCGCGCGCAAATAACCGAAATAACGTTGTAGGAGAAAAATTTAACGAGTCATGAGATGACTTTATTGAAATGAATTTATTATGTAGGATTCACACTGCATCCGAGACGTACGATGATATGATAAGTATCATCCAATAGGAGAGCTTGTTTTCTAAATATATACGACAAGCATTATCATATGACAAAATATTGTTAGCTATATATCTAGAAAATAAGCTCTTCTATTGTAGAATTCACATTGTATACGACATCCGAACTAATTTGTATTCCTAATACTTTTTTTGTTAATCTCTGACCCATTTGATTGACCCTAATCAGATCTTACAGATATCACAATAAGATCGAGATTCAATCCTTCTAAGTTAACAAAAATTACACTAACAATAACATAGATAATATTACATTTTTTAGTTAATATCTTCTCTCTCAACGAGAATGATCTTGATGTGGTGGGAAGGCTCAGTATCCGGAGGATATACGCGAAAAGAACGGTTTTTCTTAAATATCTAAAAATTTACGGATGAATAATATTTCTAGGTAAATTTTTAGATAAGTAAAATCATTCATGTGTAAAAATCCAATGACGAGGAAGTTAACGTACCCTCGTCGCCGATTGAATTAAAAGTGAACGAACCGCAGCCGGTTCATGATCGCATCGCGCGTTTGCTTTGGAAGTTGAAATTATCGGATTAATGGACTTTTTTCACAAAAGCCATTTGATGGAATTTGATCTGTAATTCGACGATGACATCATATCTACATACAATCATACAATGTATTCACAGGAATGTCTCTTTGAGACATTGGCTATATGTGGTATCCACCACGGTCATTGCAACTCTGACGCCAAATGCTCTGGGCATGAAGTGATGCCGGCCGTGTAATGTCACACATGGTGCAGCATAAACGCGAACATATGCGAACACAGCATTTGTCGTCAAACGAAATGGCAAATGCGATTGATCAATTCCAGTGGACTAATCGGCCGAATAAGTTAATCAAAGTTGGTTAAACCCAGTCGAGAAATGACAATGGAATCGAACATCGAATTGACATCGATTCGACGTCGATTCCATTGTCATTTTTCATTGGGAAATGACCCTAAATATTCAACTATTCATAATCGATTCTTATTATATTTAAAACTATCTTAAGTACAGTCTCTTAAGATGTCGTATGAACCTATTAGAGAGATCATATTACTTGACATTGTCTTAAAATAAGAACCGATTATGCCGGCCTAAAAATTGAATAAAATTTTAAATTCATTTTAATTTTTATTTAGTGTTAATTAGCATCCTGTTTCAATTATCAAATATGAAAATTAACCCAATTAATTTTAAATTTTATTGAATTTTCAACTTCTCTCTCTCTCTCTGAAATTAAACTTTTTTCTAAAATTCTATACACGTACAAATTATGTAACATATCAATATTGCAAATTTTATTGTAAACAAGTATATATAATAGTATTATTATAGATACGTATAACATAAAATTTATGTAAACTATGTCAAGACAAATATGCATCATACATATTAATGACTTTTAATGGCGATATTAATAAAAATTTCATATTCGCAAGTTAATAATTAAAAATAAATATGATGTAATTATTGTTACTATTTAATTCTATTTATATTAAACCTTAAATTATGAATACATATAAACTGGACGAGTTCTCGAAATATATTCAAAGATTTTTATATTTGCTACCCAGTGAGAAATGACAATGAAATCGACATCGAATTGATGTCGATTCGACGTCGAAATAGTAGTTAAAAGACTGAGAGAATACATTTTATATGTTAGATATTAGTATAGATAGTATATATATATACATGTATTTAATAAAAATAAACTAAACATCTCAGTCCTTTGTCTTTGTTTAACATTTAATAGATGACAAAAATGAAATGATACTTACAATATGTGAGCGTAACAAACGAACGCATCCCTAATCACTACTCCAATTGAGTCTATTCCTGTTTATTCCACAAGTCCGCAGTTTAGTATTATAGAACAAGTAGTACAACCAGTCACGTGACGGGCAGTATACATAGCACGTGTCACGTGTCGTTTTTTCTTACTGACACCGACATGGCGTCCGTCATCAAAGGTGCGGCATTCACGGTATCGTTCTAAACGCATGAAAATATTTGCATTTACATTTGAAGGACGATACATGTACATATATATATAACGCACTTAACATTAGACATTAGCACATTATCACTGAATTATACGCGTTTCCGTAGATACGGGCGAGATCTGGGGTAGATTGTTCGACCATCGTCCGTTCATTCAGGGGGAGATAACGTTCTTCCTGCGAGAATTTCAGGTGAGCTCCTGCTGATTGCGGACCCGGCATAACAATGGCATTATCTCGGCACCACCGTCATGCCGATTAGGAATTCAAGTAGTGATATTAGATCGAGATGGAATTTAAATACATGGACATAACCTATGAGTTGTGAAGACTCAATTGTAAACAAAAATGCTGATGAAAATTGTGATTGCTCTTGTCTGTATGATAAAACGTTTTAACACTTATTTTTTAAAGAGTTTTAATTGTCAAAATTTATAAATCTTTAGAATTTATTTTTATCTTAATCCTAATTATGTATTTGTGAGTCCAGTATATTTGTGCAAACTCAGATTTTTTTCTACTATACGTTGTGAAAAACAGTTTATAACAAATATTTTTCGCAACCTTATATAATTTTGGTTTACTTGATCCTATTTCTCACCTTTTGTAAACACATTAATTTAAAGTATACTAGACTTGATAATGGAATTTAAAAAATTTTGAAGTAATTAGGATTAATTCAAATTTATGTCATGACATCAGTAGTTATTCTGTCTATATTTTATAAACTACTGTATGTTAATCATTTAAGTATTGTGTTAGTATGTACATTTAAATATGTATAGTAATAAGTTTTAATGATTCTATAAGATTGGATCTCTTATATTAGGAAAAAAGATCAGACAGGGAGGTAGAACGTCTGTTTAAAATACTAGAGTATACGACAGAACTGAAGGAGAGCCAATTGGACCGTACCGAACAACTTGGTGATTGTCATTTACCTAGCCTTAAGGCAAATGTCGATGTTACGCTGAGTATGTGCAATCGTGTTTTACAGAGGGAGGAAAATTTTGATAGTGTATGTATGCCACTTTTGTATCTTTTATTTATCTCATGACACAAGAAATGGTAGATCTTCGACTTTGTAGGATAACATTTTGAGTGAAAACAGATTGCTTAGAAAAAAGGAGTGGGAAAAGTTCATAAATGATATGAGCAATAAGTGTGAAAAGGTGGACCAGACTTTCCAGGAGAAGGAAAACGAAATACAGGAGTTCTATATTGACTTGGAAAAGAAATTGCATATTACGCCATAACAATTATTTTTTAGTCTATCTGTGCATTACTTCTAAAATATTTTAGCGTTTAATAAAGTCCTAATTATTTCTTTAAGATAGAAAAAAAGTGTATATTAAACTTATTTCGATATGCTAGAGTCGATTGTAGATCCTACTATAATAATAAAACCATCTAAGAAATTGACAGATTTCATCTTGTACAATGTAAAAGATACAGATGGTGCACCGAATGGCATCACGTCCTTGCACAGCAAATCAAAAAAGGTCAAAAAAGAGAAAATTGCAAATGCCACGTTAAAAATCGAGGATCTAAGATGGCTGAACAAGTATCTAAAAGAAAACAGAAAAACTGCAACGGAAAAAATCTACCTGCACGAACTTTTCGATGATTCCGATGTGATATTACCGACGCCAAAGGAGACGCCACGAAATCCAGAATTGGAGGCCAGAATACAAAAATTAACGGCGCAACAAAACAACAAAAAATATCAGGCAATGACAAAAAGCATAGATTCTGCGCGGAAATTCCTACCGGAAGAGAGCGTTGCGTATCAAAGTAAACAAAATATTTTTATATAACGTTCTTAATCTATAAAGTACTTCTCAAAAACAATTTAACGCAAGTTTCTAATACTATTTTATTTTACAGTGAAGCAAATGAATAAGCAACTGATCGCCGTCGCACAATTTGTATTTTCTGTGATAGCTGGCTTTGCTTTTGGATTCATTGGAATAGAACTCATAGTAGGGGATCTAGACTTCGGGTTTAGATTACTCCTAGGTATAATTTGTGCACTAATTATAGCGTTGGCCGAGATATATTTTCTAGCTTTAAAATTAAATGAGTATGGTTTCGATGTCGCATCCAAATCGACAAAATTACATCAAGACTAACGTTCCAATTGCTCCCAGCTGTGTCGTTCCATTAATAAATATATGTATTATAGCAAAAATAGTCATAGGCTAATATAATATTCACCCGTTTTTTTATTGTACGACAAGATTTTCAAGTCTGTTGATTGGCTACAGGACAAAGAGATTCTCGGATCTTTTATCTCCTACAGCCAATTAATACGCTTGAAAAATTTGTCATACAACAAATGTAATATCAGCTTTAGGTCGCTATTTCATTTGTGCATTTAAAAAATGCGTCGTACGACAAATTTTTCAAGCCTGTTAATTGACTAGAATAAAGAGGATGTCTCTGTCCTGCACACATTTGTTGTACAACAAAAATGCACAAATGAAATAGCACCCTTAAAATGCTAATGATATAAAGCAATATGCAAGCTATCTTGCTAACTTTGTATTGTACAAAAAATTTTTTAAATATACATCACTTGCCTATGATTATGTAATACAAGAATCTGAAAACCTAAATAAAACAAAATATTATATGACATTAATTTATTATCAAAATAAAAGTCAATTTTAATTTTATAATATAATAAAAGATAATTTTATAATATAATAAAAGATAATTTTATAAATAAATATTATTAATGTCAGATATATTACCTGGTTAACATAATTGTATATATGGATAATGAATATTGTGATATATATATATATACAAAAATATATGTGAAAAAAGAATACATGTAGAAAGATATTAACAGTGTACTTTCATTGATTCTCAGCATATAAAAATAATTCTTTTTCCAAGATAAATTCTCATGATCTATTATAAATTTTGTGTCACTTTGGCTGCATTTGTTTGTACTGCAATATAGACGCACACTCTTAATACCAGATAAACCTTATTGATCTACAATAGTTTATAAAAAGAACACCAGATAAACCAAATTTGTTAAATAATTGAAGTTTGTTGGAAGCAGAAATCTATGAATTCATCTCTTATTATTCTCCTCACTATCACTTTTCACACTGCTTTCACTTTTGTCACTGTCCGAATGACAAGCACCATTCTCCTTAGTTTCACTCTCTCGTTCACTGCTCGACGAGTTTCCATTATCTCCCTTCGTTTCATCGCTGTCTGAACAGGAGTCTGTGTCAGAGTCACTGTCGCTGTCTGAGTCAGAACTGCTCTCAGAGGAACTGCTACTGTTAGATGCTTCTTTGGCTTCCATCATCTCCTTGAATTGTCGAACCGTGATCTTCCTGGGCATTATTTCTCGCAGAAACTCTAACATGTCATTAGTCTGTACTACTTCTGCTAGATGTTTGTAATCTAAAGAGGACCCCTTGCTGCTTTGCATGTGTGCTTCCTCTGTTAGGTAATGTATGAAGAGTTCCTATATGCAAAATATTTTATAAAGTATTGAACGCTAAATTAACAAGATCTAATAGTAATCAATTCGTAGTTCTAAAGAGGCTATGGTACACAAAGAATTTAAGCAGTAAGTGAATAGACTAATCACAGTAGAAACCATTAGAAAGTAATATGAATAATCCAGAATGTTAATTTGTTTACTGATTAAGTTTTTTGAATGTTGAAGCTCTAAAAGCAACATAAATAAAATTATTATTAGATTTTACTCAATCAAAGATATTTATATTTATTCTGCGTTATGCACATATGACTTTCATGTTGATGTACGAAGTACAGTGCAAATATTCAATATATCGGTTATTTATTTAATAAATTAATAAATCGTGATAGAGACTTTCTTTAAGAACGTATCTCTAACCTTCAAGTGCAACTTACCGTGGCTTTCGTGACCAAATACAAACCGTCCTGGCCGACGGTATCGACGCTAGGCGAACTTTTCATAATCGTCTTTACCCTTGAAATCGGTAAACGCAGCTCCTTCAGCTTCACGGAAGAAGTTTGCGTATTCATTGCGCGCACTTACTCTTCCTTTCTATTTTATTTATATACAAAAAATACCGGGCGAGTAAAAACGTGCCCGCGCGAAATCCCAAAGAGAATTGATAACAAATCCCGCGATTTAAAAGTGCAGCGATTAGTTCGGCGATGCTCCTTCGCGCTGCAGATGGTGCTGGTTACATCGAACACGAATCAAGAAATCGTAATAGACGGGAAACTTCCAGTTTCTTCAACAAATATTTACATCTCATTTTTCTAGCAATTACACTATAGAAAGTGATTGTCGCACACAATTGATAATTATAAAGCGGGTATTTATAAAACAATTTTTATATAGGCTTTCTCTGAGATCGTTTTAAATTTGTTTAAAAAAAGGTCCAATTTTACATTTAAATGCATTCATATGTTAGGGAAGTTTAAAATGATTTTAAATAAATAAAATTAAATTATAAATACCTCTATATATGTAGACTTACTATTACAATTAAATCTTCAAACTGAAACGTTTAGACACTCATGGTATCATCGATATTTTGTTATTTGTGAATTTAAGAAGCGTCATAATAAAACTCGCATAAAAACTCGTTGCTAAGCCGATTATATTTGAAACATGGCGTTCGACAGTTCTTTTAGGAATACAAGCGAAAAAATAAATATATTATTAAAAATCATTTTGGAAATGTAATATTGTTGAAACAAATATCCATTCGCAAACAGCTGTACCTCTATAATGATATTCTTCTCTTCGCATTTTCCTTCGCTGTTCTATCTGTTTACCACGTAGAACAACATCGTCGAACAAGAAAATAAGTAAAATAAAATAAAAAATCACAAGGGGAGATTCTCTAGGTAGAAGGATGAGAAATTTACCAAAATAGAAGAATTCTATACTGTACACAACCAGTATTATTCTGACATTCATACAGATATAATAAAAATATTTTATAAAGCGCGGTAACGGTAGAATTCTATAACTAAATAACTGATATTAATACCAGCGCATAATGTGGTAATGTATGTCAGCAGCATTATAGGTAGAGCGGATAATATCAGATGAGTTTTATGCAGTATTTCGATACCTGAAATAAGAATAACAATCGATGTATCTAAAACAGTAAAAGAAGAAGAGAATCGAATGTGTTACTTTGTGTTCGTAACTTACTTGCATAGCCGAGAAATGTTATGTAAATGTAATAACCAATAGCTATAAACCAAAAAGTATTCCCAATGAATCGTCCCCAAAATATATCATTGTTTATGAGACCTGCAGAGATGGAATGCATTAAATAATATTCAATGGTACATACTTGACAATGATACAAAATATACGTGAAATCTAACCATTGTATAGAAATAATTGTAAAATGTGAAGTAGAATTAATGAAGGAAACATTGCATTCAAGTGGATATCAAATGCATAGCCCCATTCAACATCTTGTGTTCTGTCTATCCTGAGATATCGATTTGTTATAAACCTATAAATAAACATATAGAATTAAAATTTGAAGATAAACTTGAGCTAACTTTAATTTTTAGTAACTTCAAATTCTATAATACTAATATAAATTAACTCTAATCTTGATGTAATTTATTCTTCATCTTTCTTTAATTCTTAAAATTGGAAAAGATGAAAAGTAAATTGAATAAAGATTAAAGTGAATCTATATTGATGGAAGCAGGCATTAGACAAAAATAAAAAATTAATTTTAGAGATTAATATAAATAGTAATTAATATAAATTATTAAAAATATTTTATTATTTGTTTTCTGGCTCATAGCCCTTCTACACATATTATTTTAATTTTAGAGATTAAAGTTATTCTGCATTGATAGAAATGGACAAGTAGATAAATTTAGAGCATTAATTGATATCTCTTTTATATAGAAACTGTAATTATAAAAAAAAGCAGTAAAATTTTACAATTAGTATGCTTACCAAAATATAGTTGCTATTAACAATCCAACAGCTATATAATCGATGAAAACCATATAAAATAATAACTTTATAAATTGGAAGAATTTTAAATTCAGCAACAATGCCAAACCAATGGTAGATATACAGAAACAACACGTGATCAATACTAAAAACGCAGGGTCATCTCTTGCAAAATGCGATTTTGTTTCTGCAAAAACCCAATAGCCATAAGACTAGAATACATGTTACTAATACATCTGGTATATCGATATGCAACGTACGTTTTCTATTTTGGAAGTTTCTGTATACCTTCTGTGGAGCTACAAATAGATAGATCATTTGCCACATGGCGAACTCGAAATCCATCTGTTCAAATTTCAGCAATTTTCTCAGATATTTATAGCATTTTGTCGCCGCCCCCATACAATTATGTCTGTAATATAACAAGTAATTCAATTAAACACTTTACTATTTTTTTTTTATTTTGAAGCAAAGTGATAAAATACACAATAATAAAAATTATAAAATGCATGCAATATGAAATCAAATTATTTTGTAAAAAGACAATCGAGCTAAATAATGGAACGAAAACTGGATACGTTGACATTTAAATTATAAGTTACAAAAAAATAAATCGATGCATATCTGTTCGTGACGTTACCTGTAAACGATCGGCATCGGCAACGAAGACGAAAATTCTGTCGGAACGGGCGAATGACATCGACTCGTTGGCGGCGATGTGGAATACTTCATTGTCGGTCCTTTTGGCAGCTTGCACTTCGCGTAATTATTTTCGATAGATAAGCATAACCCTTAATAAATTAAATTCTCTTTCGTGACGGTTTCAGGTTATGTTCACGCGTATTATCAAGAGAAGCCTGAGAGCGGCCATTGGCGGCCATGCCCGGGATTTAGCTGTTACTTTTATTTTGAAGCGCCTCTATGTCCACAAAACGTGGACATTGAACTATGTAGCTAATGTCTACGATCGTGTCGGTAATATTCACAATTTTTTGGTTCGAATCTTCGCCAGACTTCTCTCTGTTAGTACAGACACGCATCACATTCTTATCTGACACTATGATTTTATCGACAGTTTCGCCACGCAGAATAGGTATCTAGTTCCCATATCACAAAAATGAACGCTAGTATTGATTGACGTCATAAAGCATGTCCTCTCGCGGCGAATTCACAACCATAGCACAATTGATAAGAAACGTAATGCAATGATAAAAAAAAAAGTATGCGCCTTCAGTATATTATCATAAAATATATTAAATAAATGTTTACGAAATAATCTTAGGATAATTATAGATTGTAAAATTAATGTCACATTACAGACGCGAATATTGAAAATTTGAATGACAATATTAACACTCTACAATTATTAAACTATATAATATATATAATGTATAATTTTCTAATTTATTTTATTTTTATCATATATGTATATTCTTTAATTTACTGTAGCATAATAAATGTGTGTGCGTGTGTGAATACATATACTCTAAACCTTTTGATAGCGCATACGTTAATTCTTTCCGCAATGTATTGCTCTTTAAAAACAATAATCAACATATCCAATTTTCGTTCTATCATTTAACTCGATGTCTTTTTACAAAGTGATTTAATGTTATATTTAATCTTACTTTTACTGTACATTTTTATGATACATATCGGTAAAAAATAACTCTTATGCAATTATAAAAAAAAGGATAATTGTTAATACAGTCTTAAATAACTAAATCAATATATTTTCATTAATGATAATGGCGTAGCCATACACACAGAGAGATCATACGACTGAAAAACGATTCAAAATATAATATATATATATATATAGGAAATTGTATTCTGCGGCGTTCCATACATTCGATATATAACTAATTGATTTCTCTGCATGTATGCTTTTAATTGATGCTAAATTAGTCTGAAGAGGCCTATAGAGAATGCGATGTACGTTATGCTTACGCATATATATTGCTACTTGAAAATACTATAAAACTTGGATGAAAAAATTTCTTACAGCTCTTTAAAAAGCATATTTAATTATATATTAATGTTACTGTGTGCTGTGTTATCAATATTATAATTATTATTACTCAACTATTAAAAACACATGTCTCCTCCGTCTTGTTTCTTAAAAGATACAAAGTAAAATATAATACACAAATTAGCGAATTTAAAATAAAATGTTCTTATAAAATAAAAATGTCTTCAATCCTACATGTATTTGTGCTGTATTTACGGCATGTAGGTATGTCACAGAATAAATAAAAAGTTGACAGATACTATAAATTCTGATCATCAAGATAATTGTGTGATTTTTAACACAAGAGTTCGCACTCCTCTAAATGTCCAAACAAAAGTTTTTAATTTGCTTCTGCTGGAATCTGCCAGTAGTGCGCTTGCATGGATAATCGTTGATTATTACTTGGCTTGAGAGGCGTTACACAGCGGGCGGCGTCCGGAAATCGTTCATGATAACGCTCTAATCTCAGGTATTTCACAGTCACTAAATTACCTATAAAGAAAATGAAAATCCTAAAGTAAAGATGAGCAATCAAAAGAATTGATTTTTTTCATATCTGGGATACATTCATCACTTAATGCTTGTAAACGTTCTTGAAATCATTTCATCCTTGCTACTTATAAAATATCAAGAAAAGACAAATGATTCTTGCAAGCATGTAAGCATCAAATGGAACACACCTCAAAATATAAACAATCAACTCTTCAGAGATTATCCACTGAAGTATTGCAATATATGCGTTAAAATCATGAAAATTAGTACAATGTTGGCACAAATTTGTAACAAGAATTATATATCATTAAAAAGAAAAAATTAGGTATTTGGTATCTTTAACACTTTTTCATTAATATTATAAGTTCCTTAATAATATTAGCGAAACTTTACGCGAAACGGTCACCAACAGCTGTTTAACTAATATCTAAGAATTAAGTTTAGAGAATAGGAATTATAGCTTATTACACGTACCATCAAACCAACAACCGTGTAATGCCCTGTAAGCTTTGCCAGCATCTTCTTGCGACATACATTTCATATAAACGCAACCTTCACGGCTGCCAATGTCTACTCGAATGTGAAATATCTTCACAGCCTCTCCGCACTTCTCTAAAATGGCATCCTGCACTCTCGTTTCCCAGTCGTCTTCAGTTTCACTATATCGTAATACAGAATAACTTTATCCGTTACTACAATTTTTGATTGTAGACGCGCTCATACATTACTTACATATCTGGATCAAACATGTGCCTGATTTTCAGGCAAGGTGTTGGCGAACAAGTCAAGCTATTAACTGATCCCTCCATTGTTTCGAACGCTTGTCCTTGCCAGACCTTTGGCTTCTTACACAAGGCGGCGCTTTGCACGGGAGATTTATTCAAAGCATTATTCGGCAACCATCGCCATACATGAAACTCTTCTCCTGCTACTTGCTGCACTTCTCTTCGAATTCTAAAAATCAAGATCATATCCTATTACACAACTGTAAGTAAAATACAAAATAGAGACGTACAAAAAATTTTGTACCTGGATTCATTTTCATCTAGAAACTTCACTGCCTTTTCCCAAAGACCAGTCATTTTTTTACGATCTTTTGGTAAAATAAGATTGTCTCGCACATGATTTATAGCAAGGAAACTTTCCTGCGCGCCGGATTGCGTGGATGCATTTTGGTGATGTGTCTCAACGATACTTATAATATCGCTAACAAGCTTAAATACTTCTCTCTCCGTATTTTTCTTGTATCTTAGATACCAAAGGTATGATTTGTAAATGCCGATACCTGTTAATAAGACTGAAGATGCATAGATACTATTATAAATCTTTCGATACATGTAGTTCTGTCTATATATGCATTGCAATATGGTAAACAGATATTACTTTATGAATCAATAGTAAATTTTTTGTAAAATGCATTTTTTATATGTTGACAATATTTATAAGAAAAGTACGTGTTTCTTGATGCACTTCAGGATATAAAGAAAAGTGTCTCGTTACAAAATAATTTTAGATAGTATATTAAAAAAATTTTATATATATATATATATATCGGCAAATCATAGAGAATAATTTTAAAATGCAGCTACTTTACTTAAAGTATAGCTTACAGTATACCATAAAAGAGTAGTAAATAATAATCTTATGAATATATACATTGTATTAACGGCATGCACATAGGATCTTATAACACAGAATGAGGTTCAGGAAGTTTTCTCAAATAAACAGTCTGTTAGAACTTTACCGATTGCCACTATAAGAAGAGAAGAAAAGATGGTAAAAAGTTTGTTCTTAACAAGGCATTGCATTGGCAGCACAGGATTTAAAATTGCCATTCCAATTTTCCCATTTAGACGAGCAGAAAATAACTTATCCTGTAACAATTAAACAAATTTTATTAATACGATAATACAAACGTTCTTACGTTTAAAAAAGAGCGAGAGATAGATGAATATATTTACTAGAGTATCCAATGTTTCTACGGTTGCTTCATTATCATCGTCATTTACATCGATAAGTGAGATGCCCCATTTCGGATTTTTAATAATTAAAAATTGCGCGTTATGTAAGTCTTCCTTCACTTCCAGGCTCGTCTGTAAATAAAGAAGTATTGATATATAACTCTTGCATAGTTAAACGAAATTAATTCCAGTTTTCAACCCACCACTTTCTCACTCGCAAACATTTCCACGATATTTTCATCAGTCAAGTATGGTTTCTCATTCGAATTTTCGCATATTTTAGATATCGTCTTTCTTGTTAGAATGGGTTGCAGACGTCTTAGCAATTGTAACACAGATTCTATGTTTTCCTTCATTATACAATTTACTCCAGGCGCTTTAAGGTCAGGCGCTCCATCGAGGAAACATTTCGGTATGTTGTTATCTATAAATACAGGTAACATGAAACTGTATAAATCATTAATCTATATAATGTTGGAAAAATTGGAATTAATTATAAGTATGAGGCAATTTCAGACGAAAAACTACTAATTTTTTTTTAAACAATCATATAAGCAAGAAAAAAACTGAAAATAAAAATTAAAATGACAATCCTTTAATTGAAAGTTGGTCTTTTTTTATGTTCAAAACTACTTCCTTTCTTATATACAAACAAATCAACTATTTAAAATAATTATATTTATTATATGTAGCAAATTAAAAAGAATATTTAAATGGTTACAAATAATGATTGAAAATTCAATGATTTTAAAAAATAAATATATTGAACAAAAATACAATAAATTTAAAATCATAATAGTCAACTTAAATTATTTTTTTACATAGCGACAAGTAACACACACTTTCATATTCTTAAACTTTAAAATTTTTTCTATAAAAAATTAATATTTTTATATTTTAATTCGATTTTCTAAGCTACACATAAGTTTTATCCCTATATACAAATAAGTCTTATATTATCGTCTAAATTAAATGGTATAAAACGCGTGTTCGTAAATATAGGTAAAATAAACTGGAATATAGATGCATTGAAAGAACGGGAAAAGAGGAAATAAAATATCCAAATTAATTCAAGAGATATTTGATTTTTATTATACATGTAAATATATATTATATATAGAAAAAAGAAAGTACAATTCAAGAAATTCTTTTGTATGTCTAATTTAATAAGCTCGAGACAATTACTTTATTAGCCGTTAAAATTAGTAATAATTAGTAATATATAATAAATTGATTTCATTCTGTAGGCCAAAATTGATTTGAGACAAGAGCATATACATTGTGCTTTGCACCTTGTTATTTATAACAATTAAATATGTATTTCTGGAAAATCTCTTCTGTTAAGTTTATTGGACTCAGAAATCTTCCCTAGTTATATCTCAGCATACCTACCCGATGAAAGCGATGGAAGTGTTTCGGTTTCCCCACCAAGTCCCAAATATATTATTGCAAGTACTACAAAGAATAGAGCAAGTACTGCCACGAGGCCCATCGATACCATATTCTGATTATTTCGTACATTTTCCATGTCTGCATTTGTTGTCGATGGTTTATAAGTCGTTCTACTGAAAATATCTCGAACTCTGTCAGCAGACGTTGCAGTGTATCTCGAACTAAACAACATTCGTTGATATTATATTGTAATATAAAATTCAGATAAAATAATAATTTATATATACCTTGGCTGA